AGATACTAAACAGCGTTGGGCCAATATCAATTCCTGGGGAACCCACTTGTGACAGGTTGCCACTTTGAAAAGGAGCTATTTACCCCACCTTCTGGGTGCTGCCTGTCAGCCAGTTCCCCACCCACCGCACACACCGCTTGTCTAGAACGTAAGGCATCAGTGTCTCTAGGAGGAGGCTGTGGAAACCATGTCAAAATCAAATTTTGATTTGTTGTGCTTGACAGTTTAACTCCTTGTTGGTGCAGTGTATTTAGGATTTCTAGCTATCCCATGCCCTGTGCAAGATGTTTGAAGTATCTCCAAGAGGTGTCTAATATCAAAAGAGATGGGTGTTCTGCACATGACACAGCAATATATTGTGTGTGCTGTTGCTGTCATGGCCAGGTGCGCGCAGTATGTGGAGTAAGTCTGGTACGTCTGTGGTGCAGAGTTGAGCACACTGAACTTGAGCGACCTTTATTTCTGATCTGAGGCTCCACTGATACGGAGCAGAAATAGCAAGCATAAAGACAGTTCCTCTTCTTGCTTGTGTTTTCTAGAGGAGGTGGAAGAAAGAGCCTGACTCGAGTACGAAAGTGCAAGGAATTAAAAAGGGGGAAATGATCATCACCTGAGAATGATGAAAGAAAAAGGAATAAGCTTAATGGATACAAGAAACAGATAATCTGGGAGAGGGGACTAGGGGGGCATTAGAGGAGGGGAAGGATGCCAGACTTGAAATAAGAGGTCTGATCTTCAAAGCAAAGTATTACAGATCCTGGGTGAACTGATCTGACTACGACATGACAAGGGAAAATGTGTGTTAGGAGTGAAGCTGAAAGGTCTGTAGTTGCTAGCACTCCCTCGGGATTTCTAAACCTCAGTAACACTTCTGCTGTTTTCTAACATTTACTGGTTTTGCAGCTACTGCTGATATTCTTTGCTGCTTCATAGTGACAGGTGCAGATTCATGGCAATGACTTTTACTTTTATACAGTTTTATCTGAATTGATAGAAATCTTCCCTATGGATCTAAATAGAGTGTATTTGCTACAGATGCAGATGCAGTGGAGCCAGTTTGGTTGTAGAATCCTGGTTGTAGAAATTGTTATTCTTCTCTGAATTTCTTTTTAATTCTTACTAAAGTAAATAAAGTAAATTAAGGTAGTTGTACGGTGCTGTTGTCTGAACAAATCAAGGCACAATTTTCTCCAAAGAATCAAGTTCGGGTCCCTGAAATTAGTGGATATTTCTGGGATTAAGCTATTAGTCTGTATTTTCACACTGAAATACACACAATAGTCTTATGGAGATATATCTGTCTTTATGGAGCACTATAATATTACAGTAAATAAACAGCCTACAAAGAGATTAATAATTCTGTATTTGTAGGAGAGTCTGAGGTGTGTGCCAGAAAGGTTTATAATCAGGCACTGAAACATTAATAGAAGACGAAATACTGGTTCATTTATTATTCTTTCTTAGTCTTTTCCCCTCCCATTTTCAGAATGGCACACTCTGCAAAATGTTGAATGTCGTAATAAACACACACAATGAAGATAAACTAGGATTCCATGATGAATCTTAACTTTGATATTTCCTAATTTTTCTGTGCTTTCTTTTGCTTTCTAAATTTTCTTTAGTCTTTTTTGTATGCATTGTTAAATGTAACAGTGGTAATTCAAGGCGCTGTGTTGCAGTTCTAGTAGTAAGGTAGTAAGGACGGATTTTCTTTAAGCGTTTCCAATTATCTTGCCCACTACCATTTTCTCTTCCACATATTGGAAACAAAAAATTACGTATTTAATCTACATTAGTAGTAGAGATTTAAGAAATGCTTCTATTATACTTGAAAATAGTGAAAATGGATATTGTTGTTGTTTCATTTTTGTCCTTCTGTTTTCCATTTTAGATGTGGAAGGTTTAGCTTCTCAAATTATTATTGAGTCTAATGATGGAGTAAGCGGAGTAATTGAATGGGAAAGTATCAAGTAAGTCTTGTCTTCCTTGAAGAACTCACAGTATCAGTTAATGATTGGGGTTGCCCAATTACTTTCCTTTCCGGTTAGCAGTAAACTATCAAAACCAGGGCCAGACCTTTGAGATGGCAAAGCATCATTCAGTTCAG